TGGTTTCCTGTGAGGCAGAGGGTGAGGCTGGTGGAAGCCGTTAATGGAACCCAACCTTCCCTGGCCGTGGCACAGTGGCTCCTGGGGACGCCACCTGCCCTAACTTGGCCTGCTGGGCTCCTGCCCAGGATACGGGATGCTGGTGCACATGCCCCAGCCTTATGCTTTGTCGCCCACCAGGAGCAGTGCGTCAAAGCCTGTTTCACCTCCACTGAAATGTGGGGCTGTGTGCTAACTGGTCCAGGCTTCTGATGCTCCTAAGAGGGTGGAGTTGCTAGGCAAGGAGGCTGCTCCCCAGTCACCTCCCTGTGCGCAGCACCTGGTGTGATGCTACACTCGGGTGTCAGGGGCAGCCTCACTGTGACTGCTGGGAATGGCCCTGGCTGCCGCTGACCTTGGGGGTGGTGAGTTAATATGATTGCCGGCTGCTAAATCTTATGGGGCACCTATGCCCTGAGGACAGTGTCCCGAATTTCCTGTTAACAAGACAAGACTGCATGGTTCCGGCCCCTCCCCTAAGTGGGTCAGTGTAAATTTAGACAAGAGCTGTAGAGGTTTCGAGAATTCAATTTAGTGTGGGACTTGACTTTTAAGGACAAGGCATTCTCAGGGGAAGATGGGTCTGTCTTGTTAATGTGAGCTTTTGCTTTAACCAGTTATGGGCTGGGGATGACGTTGGTGTCAGTGGCAGGTGTGGCATCTGTGGCCAAGAAGGATGGTGGCTTTGCCCACAGGAATGTCCTCCGGTGTCGCAGGGGCACGCAGAGGGCCAGCCCAGCAGGCGGTGGCTCCCACACATTGCCGCATGCTGGTTGTGCCAGGGACGTCTGATCGCCCATGCCATTGGCAGGCTTGGGGTGGAGCCAGACCACCCCTGGCTGCTTGTCAGTTACCAGGGAAAGCACCAGGACCCCAGGAAGGTCTGAAGGGCTGGGCCAGGTGGAAGACAAAGCCAGGCTGGGCAGGTGCCCAGCACCAGCGAGCGAGCGGGCAGTGAGCAGGATGCAGTGCTCAGGCGAAGCTGGTTGCCCGCTCGCTCGGGCCCCTTCTAGGACGCTGTGGCCACCGTGCACCTGCTCCCAGGCTCACTCTGCTCTTTGCCGGAGGAGCAGTGCCCAGTGCTGTGGGCAGTCCTCCATGCTGAGCCCAGCGCGCCTACCACCTGCCCTTGGTGGCAAGGAGCTGGAGATTCCTTTTACTGTAAAGGTGAAGAAGTCAACCCTGGCCTCCTTAGCCCGGGAGCCATTTGTGTTTAATGGAAGTGCCACCTTCCAGCTTAGTCTCTGTCTATGTGAGAATTCCCACTTTGAGGGGGACAGATGTTGGGGTCAGGATGGGGTAAGATTTGTTGCACAATCCCCACGCCTCGGCAGCTTACCAAACCCAAAGCTGACTTTTCACCCAGGTATACCAGTCTGTGTCCAGGCACCCAGGGCCTTGCCCAGCCGATGCTTGCGCAGCTGTCCGGGCAGAAAAGGGGACCTGAAGGGTACCAGCTCTGAGCTCCCCACAGGAAGTGACACGCTTGGCCACTGCTCACCTTCTGCTGGCTGAAGAGAGGCAGCCACTGCAGCAAGGAAGGGCAGTTTTACTTCACAGCCAGAGGGAGGAAGAAGAGCACAGGGACAGCGTTAGACGGCGGCGAGGCCAAACGCACCTCCACTGGCAGCGTGGTGAGGCCGAACGCACCTCCACCGGCAGTGCGTTTATCAGCACCTCCCCGAGAGCGCTGGCCCAGCCAGTCTGGAGTGCTATCCACAGGGACCTAACAAAGGACAGAAGTGGGTGGGTGGGGGTCTTTTATGGAGGAGATGACAGGTGACTTTCTCTGCACAGTACCACAGGAGGTCTGCTGGCGCTGGCTGCAACCTTGTCTGCGTGGTTCTGGGAACGGAACACATGGCCTTTGCGCTGCATCTCCCCAGGTGCTTTTGTATTTTAAATTCTGACACGATCTCACTGAGTTGCTAAGTTGCAGCTCATGCTGGGTTCAAATTTGTGACCCTCCTGTCTCAGGCCCCGGAATGTGGCGAAGTTGGCCACTCTGAAAGATTGCTGGTTGGGGCGGATGCCAGGTTGGAGTAGTGGCACCTGTGGGCTTCTCCCCCCCACTTATCTTATAATAAAGACAGGCACCGGAGCACATTGGACAAAAACACCAGCCCAACAGCCAAAAGGAATGGCTGACTTTGGATCTGTCCTGGGAAATCCCACAGGAGTACCCCAGGCACCACCCACGCATACTCTTGGCAGTGTTCGCTCTGTCCCCTCCTCCTGGCTTCTGGAGAAGCCTTATGCACTCTCCACAATGCCCACTGCCAGGGCGGCAGGTGGAGCAGACCCCTCTGTGCTCATACACGTCAGCAGACAGGATGGCGGCACTGGGCATGCGTGCCTTGGAGAGTCACCGTAAGGGCCTAGGCTTAGTGCTTGACCAGCAGTGCCTCTCGGACCCCAGAGCTCGCCTACGAGGTGCAGCAGTTGTCATCACTGCTCTGCACATGTGAGCTCGCCTCAGGGGGACCCTGGGCAGGAGCTGCCGGGCCAGGTGGGCCTGCGATGAGTGCAGGCGCTCCCAGGAGCCTTCGGGTTTGCTGGCCTCTGTGTCCCTTGGGATAGCTGAGTGCCCTGTCACCTGAATGAGTATCAGGTGACGCTGATGCAGTCCACATGGCAAGCACTGATACTTGAGGAGTCCACAGCCAGACTCCACTGCACGTTGTTTCACAAATGACTGATCTTATTGGGGTTATTTGGGGTGAATTCCCCTAACTGGGTGACAAAACTGTGATCCACATTTCAGCTCCCTGCTTGCTCTGGCTCCAGAATCCCAGGGTTTAGAACTGCAACAGCTATTTTTAGTGCACCTCGTTTGACATCACTTCCTCAGCCCTTGTTTTTAAGGGATTTAAAATGCTATCTGTGGGGACCACGGTGGGCAGGGCTGCTTCCCAGCCTGGGGCCTCTGCGGGGTGACGAATTCAGCCCAGGGCCACTGTGGGCAGGAAGCTCTGCTAGGATCCCTGGAGGCCCGGGAGGTTTTGCTAACCTGCTGGAAGCAGGACAGTTTGCCTGTGCCGCGGGCTGGTTCCCTCAGGCTCCTCGGAAGAGCAAGGACAGCGCCTCCTTATTACCTCAGATGGCGCTGTGCAGCCCCCGCCAAGGGGAACCCCCAGTTGTTTCCTTATTAAAATAAAAATCAGCTGGACATAGGGGTGCACACTGTAACCCCAGCACTGGGAGGCTGAGGCAGGGGGATTGCAGGCTTGAACCCAACCTGAGACCTTGTCTCAAAATAAAAAACTGGAAGGGCTGGGGGCAGAGCTCGGCTTGCACGCCCCGGGCTCGGCCCCGCTTCACAGCAGCACTCTCCCCAGCTAACAGAGCAAGCGCCGGCCTTTATTAAATGATCAGCAACGGCTTAGAAGTTCAAGTAACCAACTTTGAGAAAACGAAGCAAAAAGGCCTGGGGAGCTTGTGGTGTAATCTTGAGCTCCGAAGAAGTGGGGACAGTTCTGGGGTGTCCTGCGGTGACCTGACCTCTCTGCTCCAATGATCAGTCCAACTTCTTCCTCTGGGCCCGGGCACTGTGACTGTCCTGTCCCAGAAGTCAAGTGCATGGGGGCTGCGGGGCATCGCCACCACCCTGGGATGCTGGTCTAAGTGTGCCCCAGGACACAGCGAGTCGGCCGTGGACACTGGCTGTGTGGCTCAAGGCTCCCGGGCAACGCCCTTCCTCCCAGTGGCCCATCGCTTAGCCAGGTCAGAGGAGTACAAAAACCGTTCTCTCTGCTTCTGCCACGCTGCTGGGGCCGCAAGCCACTGAGCATGCACAGTGTGGCTGTGCTCCTCCCTGCCCCGCCCAACCCTGCCCCTATGTCCAAAGTTGGTTTGCACTTAAAGAGTTTTCAGTGTGGTCAGATCTGCATGGCGTTTGCCTTTGGAACCATTCTCAAGCACAGTTCAGTGGCGCTGGGGATGTTGACCCAACTACGCGCCCCCAACTACCACACTCTGGGACTGTTCCTTCACACGGGGCCCCATCCCACGCCCGCAGCCCCTGCCGACCACCCTCGTGTCATACAGTACCACACGGACCACAACACTGCGTTTTTGTGACTGGCCCACTTCACTCAGCATTCCCTCCTTTTCAAGGCCCAGTAGTGCTCCACTCTATGTACGGGCCACACCTTGTTTAACTCCCGCCTGTGGGTGGATGTTTGGGGTGCTTCTACCTTCCGGCTACTCTGAATAATGCAACTGTGAGCACAGAGAGCTGTCTGGGTCTCCATTTCTTTTTTACCTGAAGAGGAGCCACTGTCACCTGGTGGCTCCCTGTGACTGAGGAGCTGCCCTACTACGGTTGCCTCACTACAGCTGCCCAGCTGTGCGCAGGGCTCAGGCCTCCCCAACACCTGTGTTTTACAAAGATTTACTTAAAGGAGCAGCTGGGACAACACTGGGCCTAGAACTTGCTCCATCTGCTCTTTAGGTGACAAGGAGCCAGCAAGCGAGTGCCAGTCACGGCTGGCAGTCAGGCCCAGCGGCTCCTTCACGCTGTCCCTTGGCATCAGGCTTCTTGTAGACCCCACTCCTAGCCAGAGTGCACCCTGGGGCTGAAGCAGAAGGACCACAGGCTCCATTCCACCCCCAGCAGTGCAGATAAGAAAAGGCCCAGTTGAGCTGCACACAGGCAGCAGCGGCCTCTGGGCAAGGGCCCAGCCTGTCGCCATGGGCCAGGGCAGGGTCTGGTGTGGTGCGGGACCTGCACCAGTCTCCCTGCAGCCATCCGTCCCGCTTGGGCTCTTGCAGTGGGAACAAAGCTGCGCCTTGTCCTCTCAGGGTTGAGTGAGATGGTACCATGGCGCCATCCCCAGTGTCCCTGTCACACCACCGCAGCCCCCCTCTGCAGCTAGGGCTGGGATCCACGGGGCGCACAGGAGAACACAGATGCCATGGGAGCATAAGACAGACACGAGGCCGTGCTGCCACCTCGAGAAGGCTTTATTTCCACTTCCTCGTGGTCTGGGACAGACACAAGGCACCTTGCTGGTCACGATTTGGCACCTCGCAGCTCTCTAGTATTTTTCTCTAAGCAAAGATTCTGAGTGAGCGCTGTATGTCTCAGTTAATCTTTTAACCATTTAGAAGGTTGCTGTTGTCGCATCAGTGCAAGGGGCCAACAGTGACAGGGACTTTAGGACGATCACAGTAGACCAGATGGACGACGGGCAGGCGAGGGAGGCGGTGGGGTTCATGCAGCCAGGTACAGGCGGGCTGGGGGAGCTGCACGTGGCCTCTGTCCCCTCCCCAAACAGGGACCCGCCTCCCCGGGGTGAGAGCTGCCGGCTTCTCAGCCTTCACCACAAAATATCACTGCAGCAGACAGTCCGAAGCATTTAAAAAAAAATTCCTAAGAAAACACCAACCCAGACAAATTAAAATTAAGTTAAAAACACTCTACATCCAACGTGGGGAGAAGCCCAACCCAGAGGAACAGTGCAGTCCGCGTAACAGAGGCACCTCCGGGCTGGGAGCGGGCAGAGTCCCTCCCAAGGTACACTTTACATTTACAACTTTGACATTTTAAATCTATTTGTAACCTTATTTACCTTTTTGTTTAGTTTAATATACTGTGTGTAAAAAAGATGGAGACAAAAATAGTTTTCTGAGCTATGAAAAGAAGTTATTACAGGCACATGTACTGTCCCAGTCTAGAAACGTCTCAGCGTCCCAGGTCGGACGTTCAGCAGCTGTCTCATGAAGACCGAGGTCCTTTCTCCTCCGGGCAGCGTCGGTGTGTGACGGTGGTGGCTCTGGTGGTCCGTGCAGGCTGGCATCACAGGTGTGGCTTCTCCTCCGGTCCGTCCTCGGCACCGGGCTCCTCCAGGAATGCAGGCGCCCCAGGTGACCGAGCCTCTGAGGCGGAGGGGCTGGGAGGAGCCCATCGGGATGGAGGGCGGCGGTTGGCCGGTCTCTCAGGCCTGGAGAAGCAGGGCTCTAGGGACGGGGCGAGTGCGGAACAAGGCAGTTCCTTGGGGCCAAGAGAGGGAGAGAGCCTTGTTAGGTGGGCAGTCTGAGGTGCGCACGCCTGGCACACCTGCCAGACACTCGGGAGCCACAGGGGAACATGATTGGACGTGATGCTCATGGAGAACGTGAGTGACCAGGCAAGGGCTCGGCATGAGGGATCGGTGACACGTGGGAGACAGGACACTATGACAGGAGGTGGCGAGCTGCGGGATGGGTCTCCTTACATACAGGCACTGCGGCCCCTTGTCCTGGTCCCACCCTGCCAGCCCCGTCACCAGCTCTGCTGGCTACAAAGAGCTGCTGTTCTCCAGTGCCTTGGGCCATCGGGGCTAGCAACAAGCGTGCCCTGAAACCAACTCTGCCCCTATGAAGCTGTCCCCACCAGCCAGCAGCCGCTGAGCAGACTCCATAGGCAGGGCAGCGCTGTGGTGAGCTTTCAGTTGTGGTCTTGTCATCTGTGGCGGCTTCTCAGAGCAGCACACGTTTGGGAGCCACCGTCGCTGTCACTTGTGTCCTTGGCACCCTAACTTTCTGAGGGCTGATCGATCACACTAGGCCCACTCAGCCACCCGAGGTCTGTACTCTCGAGGCCCATCTTGTTTTGGAGAACATTTAGCCATCTGTCCTCAGCCCCGTGCTAGCTGACTAGGACATACAAGTTAGAAGCTGGTGACACAAACATAGAAGGCTATGGCCCATGGGACCCCAGTGAGGGTCAACCCAAAGCTGACGGGGGTTGTAGCCATGGGTGGCTGGGAGGGGTAGTGCAGAATGAGGGCGCCGAAGGTGTCAGGAAGTGGGACCTGACAAGTGGCCTAGAGGACCAGAGGAAGGCGAGAAGCCAGTGGGATGGCAATGCCACTCCACAGGGAGATGGGGGTGGCCATGAGGAGGATGTGGGCCTTGGGGGGGTACCTAGGTGGGGCCTGTGGCATGGGAAAGGCTGGGGAGGCAGGGTGGCTCCTGGCTTCTTGTGGACACTGGTGACACTTCAGGGCCCTGTGCCTTTGTGGGTGCCACCTGGTGTCAGGGAAGGGTTTGTGGGCGGCCCCCAAGCTGAGGGAACTGTGACTTCCAGGCTGTGTCTCTCTTCACCCTCAGTGCCACCCAGTCACCAGCAAAGCCAGGGCAGTGTGCCCCTCTCAGCACCATGGCCCACGGTGTGGGGCACTGCTTGGGACACTGGCTGCTGCTGTGACTCTGCCTCATCACTAAGCACTGCGAAGGTGTGTGTCGCAGGTGGGCAGCCAGGACTCAGGGCCAGCTGCGCAGGGTCACCATCCCTAGCTGTCTGTCACCTAAGGACCCTTGTGAGTGGTGGCTGAGTGGCACAGTGGGGTGCTGACCTGGCCTGGGATGTGTGTGGAGTGGCCCCAGATGGCGATGTGTCAGACACACACACACACACACACACACACACACACACACACGTGTCCGAACACGGGGGCCCGGGCAGAGGCACTTACAGCGTGAGGCGGGCAGGGCTAGAGCCCCCACGGGGCAGTGAGTAAGACAGGTGGGTTCTGGACGAACAGACAGAGAAGAGAAAGCAAGCAGTTGGAAGGCGTATTTTCAACAGCAGAACAGGTGCAGTTCCAAGCCAAGGACAGAGGGCAGGGCTTGAGGACGGCCACCAGTAGGGACCTGTCCTTTGCCATCTGCTGCTGAGAAAGGCCTCTGTCCCGGCACAGAGTGGGTGCCAGATGGGACCTGGGCTGGTGCGTGCCTAGTGTGCTCTGGTCTCTACCGTGGAACCGCTGCTGTTCCAGCCGGGACAGAGGGGCGAGCCGCGTTGAGCTCCTGGCACCCTCGCCTCCCACCACACTGCTCCTCACAGCGGCTCCGTGTTGCTATGGGACCTCGCCCCCATGCCCAGACCTCCGGGTGGATGATCAGGAGGGTATCTGTGGCAGGGGCAGGAAGAGGAGTGAGCTAGGCACCAGGAGTAGCTCTAGAGATGCAGGGCTGGAGACCCGGAGTGACTGTGTGCGTTTGTGGGGAGACAAGGGGCAGAAGGGCTGATCTGCCAGCTCGGTTCAAACAGCAATCCCACTCCATGCGGAGCAGCCGGACCCTGGCGGTGGAGGCAGAGGGGCCCATGAGGCTCCCCAGGGCTGGGGCCCTGAATCTGCTCCTGCTCAGCAAGCCACCTTCTTGGTAGCAAGTGTACCCCACACAGGCTCGAGGCCAGGGCAGCCTCAGAGGGCACCACATTCCACCCACCGGGCCCCTGCCTTCCTGTGGCCACAGGTTGCTGGCGGCTCGCACTGTCAGCAATTCAAAGCATCTTGTGGTTCCCAGGCATAAACTGCAGTCCGGCCCCTGCCATAGGAGATACGCGCATCCAGCCAGGGAGGACCCGGGGTCGGGGACCTCTGATCTCACGGCCGCCTTGGGGCCAGGAATGGCAGGGTGACCACACGCAGGGGTGCCTCCCAAGCCACCAGCACTTACCTGTGGGCTCCTGAGGGCTGGTGGACAGAGGCCACGTGTGTCAGCTGGGCGCACCTGCCCAGCAGCACCTGCCCTCAGAGGGCGTCAATCATGCCACAGCTGGGTCTCTGCAGCAGCAGCCGTCCCTGCGCCTGGCCCATGTCAGATTCAGACTACATTCTGGGGGGCCACCTCCCTAGGAGGACTGAGAAGCCAACCCCTTTCCTGCCCCTGGTGACCCGGGACTCGCAGGCTCCTCTCCTCACCCGCAGGGTCAGGCTCACATGCCTGCCGCAGCTGTGGTCGTTCCTGGGCAGACCCATGCCTGCAGAGTGCGTGCACGACGCCCTGGCACTGCCCTGGCCCAGCTCTGTCCTGTTCTTTGTTCCCTTTTGCTCACTCTTGGCATGGAAATGGGACTTTTTGCAGCGATGTGGTACCCACAGGCCACGTGGGGCCACATGTTGGGACACAGCAGTGCACTGGTTTGTGACAGAGGGAACTGTCGCCTTACCTCCATGGCTCCCGGCTCGGCTGGGGCCGTTTCTCCCATGACACTGTCACTGGTGAGACTCGGGGGCCCGGGCACAGCCAGCCTCCTGTCCTCCTTGAGGGCATGCTCCAGCAGCTTCCTGTTCAGGATCCGGGCCACACTCTCCGCCAGTGTGTAGCCAGGGGGTGCAGACAGGTCCTGCCTCATGGGCGTGCTCTCTCCCCCGTCCTCCCTGACTGCGCCCAGGGGGCTGGGTGACCTTCCCCGGGAGCCAGGGCCTGTCTCCTGGCCAGGACCCAGCTCTGGCCGGGGCTCTGTGGAGTGAGCACGGCTTCCGGCCCGCGTGCCCTTCTGGAAGGGGTCCTGTAGGGCTGGACTGTGGTCCACGATGGCGAAGAGGCTGGAGAGGCCATCGGGGATGGTGGTGTGCACAGGGCTCTCACGCGTGGTGGTGGAGCGGGCCCAGGCCGACTCGCTGAAGCCCTTCTGGCCGCCCCCCATCGAAGTCCTGCTGGCCGGCTGGTCAGCTTTGGGGAGGGGCTTTCTCTGCAGCTTGGGGGACCCGTACTTGGGGGAGCAGCAGGTACGCTCAAACTTGGCCTGCACCTTTTCGATGGCGGGGGCCACCTGCCTGCTCCTAAGGCTCCGGGATGGGGATGACACCGGTGTGGTGCCGCCCCCTGCCTTTGGCGTGAGACACCTGTGGGGGCTACTGGTGACACCGCCAGCACGCAGGGTTTCAGTCTGCAGACCCACACTGATGGTTTGCACAGTCTGGGTCCCCGTCGTGTGGGACTCGTTTGTCTGGCAGGCCATGTCCTTGACGAGGGGCCGGGTGGGGCCAGAGCCCAGGGTGCTCCTGATGGAGAAGGCTGCCGCCTTGCTGTCGTCACTCATGTTCTTGGACATGTCCAGGCTGTGTGGTGGGGTGGCAGCCAAGGGGGTGCAGAGGGAGAGTTCAAGGGGGCACAGGGCCCCCTCCGCATAGTCTCGGGGGTGTCGGGCTGGGGTGCAGGGCCACCTGTCCGGTGCGGGGGGCTCCCTGGTCTCTCCCAGGCTGGCTCTGGCTCTGCTGGTGGGTGGGGGGCCCTCCAGGTCCAGCCTGATGCTGTCCACCCTGCGGATGGCGGGTGGACTGTGCAGCACGCGCACCCCCGATGGCTCGGTGAGGACGTGGCTGCGCAGTGCCTGCTTCTGGCAGTGCTCGGGGCTGGTCAGGCTGTCCGTGGTCATGGTAACGCTTGTGGTCAGGAACCAGGAGGAGGTAGGGAAGGGCTCTGCTGGGGCCACCTGCCCAGCCCATCCGCCCTCGGTCCTGTCTGCCCAGGGGTCTGGGGGCCGCTCTGGACCGGCCCTAGGGGGCGTTGTGTAGTCCCAGCTCTTGCTGTGGAACTCCTCAATATACTTGAGGTCGTCAGGGGACAGGGGTGGGGTGATGTCGTCTGTGCTGCTGGGGTGCGGCAGGCCCTTCTCAGGCAGGAAGGGGGAGACATCCATCAGGCGCTGGAACTCGGACATGGAGGACACAGACACCACCCTAGGGGAGCAGAGGCCGTGAGTGCACAGTGATGCCCCTCCACCTCCACCATTGGGACCCCAGCAGTGCCCAAGGCCCCTGGAACTGTCCCTGCAGCCTGAGACTGGTTGGATGCTAATCACCATGAAAACGGGGGATTGGGGGCTCTACCTCCAACGCTACCCATCTCAAAGGACCTCAGCATCCTGTGAGACAGACCGATGAGCTGGCAGGCAACAGCTGTGTCCCCACCAGCCTGGGACAGTGGCCACCAAAGGCCATTGCGGAGACACCAGAGAACAGAGGGAAATGGGCCTCCGAGTCAGATGGGCACTGCCTCCAGATACTAACCCTGCCTCCCTTTCTACCTCTACCCGTACCCCTCACGCTGATTGGGACAGGCATTGAATTCTGCATTCAGCTCTGGAGATGACCTTCTAAAGTGAACATTTTTGTTGGTTTTGAAAGTCTAGGTTCTTTCTTCACTGTGTGTGTGTGTGTGTGTGTGTGTGTGTGTGTGTGTGTGTTTTATCAGTGTATGTTTGCAATACATTTTTTACATTACTTTTGGGGACCTGGTATGCGTGCATTTATAACATATCTCGATCCTCTCCAATTCCCATTCCCCATCTGTGGAGATCCAAATACTACTTCTAAAAGAATTTCATGTGGGCCTGGCCACCTCTCTGCTCCTTCACATGGCCCCTGTGTTTGTCTGTGCTCCTCCTCTATGTCCTGCTTAGCTAACAGAAATTCCCCTGCAGACATGAACGCAGCCAAAGGGTAAGGGCCCCTGAATCTAAGCAGGAATTGGGTTTGGAAAGCTTGGTCAGGCAGATGTGAAGTGGGGTGCGGAGTCCGGACACAGGAGCACTGTGAGTGCACACATTTCCATTTGATGTGGACTGAGTGTCTCTTGCCTGCCGGGACAGGCACCCAGGGATGCCAGGCACGTGGGCATCTCACCCACTGTGAGGGCGGAGGGGGGTGACTGGGGAGGAAGCTGCGGTGGGAACTGCAGCTGGACTGGCTCCTGTGGGACACACTTTCCACAGTACCCTGTGAGCCAACTCCAGACAGTGCCTGTCCCACCCAGGGCTCCAGATGGAGTGCACAGAGCCAGGCTTCTGCCCTGGCTCAGCTGAAGAACGGAAGGTGGTGTCCAGAGGTGAGGGTTGCACACCGCCAGGGCTCTACTTAATTAACACAGGAAGAGAGCAGCAGGGACAGGAAGGAGAGCACTGGCTCCTGCAGCCTGAGGCAGTGCAGGCACTTGCAGCCAGAGGAGACGCTGCAGGGCACAGGGCGCCTCCTTCTGTGGAGTGTCCAGGCGCCTGCTCTGGTCTGCCACAGGCAGGGTGACTGGGGATTGAAGCAGCACGCAAGAACCTAAGGAGCAGCGAGGCCACAGGGAGGTTACCGCAGCTTGCGCCAGCCAGCTCAGCCCTGCCTGCAGGCTTTCCTGTGGGCATGAAGCTGCACACAGACCCGTCTTCCTGTTACAGATGAGGAGACTGAGACACACGGCACTGAGCCACACACCCAAAGTCCAGGCTTCTGGAGGCAGAAGCTGGCTGTGCAGCCGGGCTTGCCCTGCCCGAGGGTGACAAGATGACACAGACCTCGGGTGGGGGATACCACCCCCACAGGTAGGCAAGGAGAAGCCAAGGCCTGGGAAGGTCCTGCAGAGGCAACACCAGGCCCTCAGCTAAATTTTAACTTGTTGTGTGTGTATGTGTGGTACCCGGGATTGAACTCAGGACCTTGAGCTTGGCAGGCAGGTGTTTATGCCATTGAGCTATATCCCCAGCAGGCGCTCAGCTAGAGCAGAAGGAAAACACAAAGCCAGGAAGCAAGGCGGGAACAGGGAGCAGGGAGTGGGCATGGAATTGACACGGACTGCAGAGTCCTGTACTTTCCTTCAGGGCTCACTGCCAGGAAAAATTCCGTAAATCCTCCTGGTGGACTTTTAAACACAATGTATCCCGCACCTCCTACATCCAGGGGGGCTTTTCCTAGACTTTCCACTGACGTTTTCTACAGACTTTGCAGATACACCAAACAGTACCCCACTGTGCATTCGACACAACTGTCACAGCAACATCCAGACCGCAGAACGGTCAGGAACACTGGCTCTGCTCTTTCGCTTGCTAATCCACCAAGAACGTACATTTATAAAACAGACAGTGATAAGTAAACTACTCAACATGTCGTCACAGACTGCATCCACAAAGGGCTGGGCATTAGGACAAAGAGGAGGCTGGAGCAGTGATGGGATCCTGATCAATCTCACCTTTGAAGACTCCTCTTGTGGTTTTCTTCTTCCTGTAAAAGAGAGACAGTTTGTCTGAAATGAGGGCAGCAGTCCACACATGGTGAGGGGCTGGCACTGCTGAGGCTGGCAGGAGAGAGAGGCTGGCAAAAAACTTGTTGAGCAGGAGGGAAGGTAACCCGTGTGTGTGTGTGTGTGTGTGTGTGTGTGTGTGTGTGTGAGGACGGAGGCAAAGGGAGGTGGAGAAGAGGGCGCTGGGAGACCCAGGTCCCCCTGTCCCACCCACTGCCCTGTAATAAACCTTCTCTCAGGATCAGAAGTTCAGTTGGGCGGCAGCCCCTTAGGAGGAGGAGTGGGAGCTGAGCTGGCAGTGAGCACAGCCACAGGGTCACCTTCAAGAAGGCGCCCAGGGCTGCCCTTCTGGGAAGAAGCTTGCAGCGGCCACGGAACACACCCTGGGAACAGTAACTCCAGCAGAGTGCACACTCTTGCCCCTGTTGTGATGCATCTGGGGCCAGGACATGCGTCCATGAGTCCCATGTCCTCTCTGCTCTGAAACCTGAGCCCGGGAAATGGTTCGAATGCTCCCCAAACCGAGCCATCGAGAGCTGACACCCTGCAACCTGGCTGCATGGAGCAGATACGAGCTGCGCTGTCTCAGTAGCTGAGCGGTGTGGGGAGGGCGAGGGCAGCAGGCACGCTGGCTGCTCAGCCGGCTCACTAGAAAGGGCTCCTAGCAGCAATTTTCAAAATGAGATTTTTTTCCCCCTAAAAACCCAACATAACCAGAAAAATGAAACGCCTTGCCGGAAGCATTTCAGTATATAGCATAATTCATCAATGGGGAATCTAATTTACACAGGGTTCTTAGTATTACGCTTTCTCCTCCTCTGCCCAGAATAAGATGTTTATAGTATGTTTGGTGACACTCACTACTTCTAAAAGCCAGGGAACTTCCTGAACACAGAACTTTTTCAGGCATTGCTTTTCCCAACCTCAGGGAAGGCAGAACACGCAGACGCGGTGTCTTCTTGTGGCTCACACCAGACAGCTTCTTCCCACGCCCGTCCTTTGGTGGAGGACACCAGCATGGTATCTGCACCCAAACGTGGTGGCAGAGTGACATCACCCACAGATCACCCCAGGAGCTTAGGGTGGGGCCAGTGAGCCCCCTGAGCACTGGGGAGAGTCCACCTTCAGGGAATTCCTAGGTTGGCCCTGGATGCTGCCAGGTTTGGGCCAAATGACAGCTGCTCAGCATGTAGCAGTGAGTGAGAGTAGCTATAACCAGCGGGCTGACCAGAGGGATGAGGCCAGGCTGACCTCTGGGAGGCGGTTCCTGAAGGTCCTCTCAGGCTTTCCCCGGGGCAGGGGTGGCTCCTCCTGCTCATCGTCCAGGGCCAAGGCGTCCAGGTGGGGGTTCTCGCTGGCTGAGCACCGGTCTGACTCCTTCAGCTGGGACAGTGGCTGGTCCTCAAAAGGCAGGGAGTCGAGGTCCGCGCAGGGCCACACGGATATGGGCCGGGACATGCGAGGGCCTTCCAGGTGGGAAGAGAGGGGCGGATTGCCTTCTTTCTGATCACAGAGGAAACTGCTGCCTCTCTGGGGGCCGTTCTCTTTCTGCATCTTGAAAATTTTAGAAATGGAAATCATTAGCCTCCCACTTTGGGCTCATGGTTTTCTTAAGGCCAAATGTATTTCCAGCATGCAAATGACATGTGGGTCAGTGTCAAGCCTCAGCAAAAGCAAACATTCTCAATGTTCAGATGTAATTTCAGGAGCTGTAATCCCAGCACTCAGAAGGCTGAGGCAAGAGGATTGCCTCGAGCTCCAGACCAGCCTGAGCTGCACAGTGAGCTCAAGGCCAGCTTGAGCTGTACATAAGACTCTATCTCAAAAAGACACAGACAAAAAATAAATTCAGAACATGTTACAAATGCTTTTAAACTAATCACAATTTGTAGCACAAGCACTTGGGAGGCTAAGGCAAGAGGACTGCCACACGTTTGTAGCTATTCTGGGTTCTATGCGAGTTCTAGCTCAGTCTGAACTACATTGTGAGACCTGTTCTAAAAAAACCAAAGTAGCAACAACAACAAAAACCACAATTTTACTTGGAGTAAAAAAACTTGCACTTACACAAAACTCAATTCATCTGATCAATCTTGTGTGTGTTTGTGTGTGTATTATGTTCTGTTTTTCTTCATTTTGTTGTAAAGTATGTTTTTGTATAGCTTTAAGTACTATGCTTGTGGGAAATTTTGTACTTATTTTTAAAAATTCAAACAGGGTTCAGACTCTTTGGGAATCGCCCTCAAAGTTGTGGGCATGTTACCATGACACCATGTGTGGGGTTCCCTCCAAGGTGAGCCAGGCTCTCCTGAGAGCCCCCACAATCTGGAGCAGGTCCCATGCTTGCCCCACAAGCATGCAGAGTGGTAACCATTATAGAGACAACTTTCACACTGCTAGAGAGGATTAAAACTTAGCTGCAAAGCCAACCACAGGGGAAAAGCCACACTTTTCAGCCCTACTTTTTGGTAAGCTGAGGCAGGAGCAGTGAGCCAACTGGGATTGGAAGATAGGATTTGCAGCCTGTGGGCAGGGGTGGAGGACCCACGATGCTGTCCTCCTTGTGTCTCTTGCCACTTCAGGAGGGATCTCATGGTGGAGCTCTGAAAGGAACCAGGTTCCCTCTCAGGGCTGTGGGCCGGGATCCCCAGTCCTCCTTGCTAAACCACCTCAGACAGCAGCACTGAGCCTCCCTTGCCAGTGGGGTCTTTACAGGGTTATGAGCCCATGAGCTACCCAACAATAGGAGTGACATTTGGGGCTGACTCAAGCAATGGCCAGGTGAAGATTTTTCAGTCCTTGGGACCTGGGACCAGGAAATTCTACAGTGCCTTGGACGGAGACAGACAGCATTTTAAGAAAGCATCTTTACACGCAGCATCTCAGTGCCTCAGTGTGAGCCTTGGGCCCAGCCAGGCCTGTGGCCCGTCAGGAAGGCAGCTGGGGGACATGGGACTGCCACCCACTTACTCCTTTCAGTCATCCGGGGGCAGCGCTGTGGAGGGCTCAAGGCACTGAGTGCAGCCTCTGAGAACGACTCTGGCAGCCCGAGCTCAGATGCTGGAGCCCGCGAGCCGCGCACTTAACGATGGCCCTCTTAACGATGCTGACGGCTTTCGTTAACTCACCCAGCGCACGTCAGGGCTATTTGGTTTCGACACAACTGTCCCTAAGCTATTCTGGGCTAGGAATTAAAATGCAAGACTCACAGTGGAGGCTGTGAATGTGCGTGGAGGGGGAAGGATGACCACAGGAACATCGATGAACACGCGTCCCAGCTCGGGCAACGCAGGTGGCCAGGAGCACCCGCGCTCAGCTGCTACGTGTTGGGTTTCCTAAAGTGAGCCGCAGCGGCTGGGCCGGAGCACTCTGCTGCCCGGATGCCTCTGCGGTGTGGTAATAAAGCGTAGGGTTTCGGGGCGGCTTCTGACCCCGCAGAGCGACTACTGTACTTCTGGCTTGTGGCAGAACCTCTCACGCAAATGGAAAATTGATCAGATTTGCATTTAAAGTAGTGCAGGACACAACAGGGCCTCAAGAGTGTCCCCTTACCTAGGCTGGTGAAGGGGAGAAAGGTGGCTTTGTCAACAGGCTTTAAAAGGGCCTTTCAGTTTGTAAAAGCAGCTGATTTAAGAAAGTTACTGCAAGGAGAGCAGGTGACGTGTGCGCTTCCTATTTAGCTCTGTAAGTACAGTGACAGGCGACCTTATGCACTCATTCACTGGAGCTTTTCAATCTGAAAAGAAAATGTGCTGTGACTCCACAAAACCCAGCGGCCCCTCTGTCGCACAGATGGAGACAAGGCCTTGGGGGTGACAGACGAAGTGCGCCTACGACCGCGCCCCCTGCCCGCCACTCATCGCGGCACCTCTTGTGTGGTGCAGGAATTATACCGGAAGCTAACGACACCGAACAAGTAGGAGGCATGTGTTCTGGAAGTGGAAAATGGATTTAAGGCTACTTCTTCGGCACCTGCACAGGGCCATCAAATCAAGGTCGCGTGGCTGACTGAGCAGTCGGAGCTCGAGGATGCGTTGTGAAGAATGTCCAGCCAATTTCGCCTACGTGAGGAATCGTGGGCCACGTGAACACCAGATGAAGGAACAGCCCAAGGGGTGACAAGCAAACCCCACAGCGCCCTGTGTGTCTGTGCTCACACACCTTGCGGCCGGCTTTTGGTCTTACAGAGGTCACCAGGGACTGTCTCACCCAGTTTCCAGATTGGGCCCCGACATTTATAAAAACTGTTGAGACTTTTGGGGAGAAAGCCTGGGCCTATTTCTGAAAGACACCACTGCATGTCAGATGCATCTGTTCATTGTTAATGAATTCTCTCCAGACCCCACAGCAGGTTCACCGCGTAACTATTCAGGCATCCACCACAGCGGCATGAAGAGTGGCAGGAGACCCAAGTGGACCTCAGGTCACAGCGGCCCGGGTTGCCAACCTGCAGGGCTCAAGTTCCATCTGGGACTGTCCCTTCAGCACTGACAACCTGCATCTTCCCCAAATTTGGGCTCAGAACGAGGCAGCAGCTCATCCCTATGCCACCCACGCAGAAGCTAGGTGGCCCAGATGTGTCTTACCTCTCTTTCCTTATTGCCACAAGTGAAAGGCTTGCTTATCTTATATCTGAACTTGTAAGATTTTGGAATGAATGAAACCTACACACGACTGACCAGGAAGCCACTACGGCCAAGACGTGAATTCGGTGGCTGCATGGGACACACAATAAGGGACCCCAGAGCGTGGCCAGGAAGGATAGTCCCAGCAACCAGCCTCCTGGTGACTGTGACGTTGGTAAATTGAGGATGGCTGAGTCAATGGCCACCAATCCATGCCACTTATTTCAATTTTCCACCCACAATGGGCCCTGGCCACCTGCACAGGCCCACAGTCAGCACACAGGAGGCCACCGCCAGAGCTCCATTTTCCCAACTGAACTGGGAAGACGATGTTCCTCTTGCTAGGATTTGAGGAATTCTGAAATGAAGCTGTATCAAGTATCAGCAAGGGGACGGAACTGCAGGAGCGCCACACCCAGCGAGGCCTCTGCCGGCTTCCTTGGTGGCTTCGTGGCCCAAGTGCCTGGTCTCTTTCTTCCTGCCACTTAGCTCCTCCCCCTCCGCCTGTCTTGTCTCACACTGAAATCCCTGCTGCAATGAGGTGGTTTTTCCTGGTCTCATTTTCTTATAGATTCAATCTCCTGGAAGGCCAGTGAATGCGTGTGACAGCCCGCAATAAACAAACAATAAAAACCCGGCCTGGGCAGGCTGTCTCCGTCAGTGCAGCGTGGCAGCCAGACCTGCGCAGCGCTCAGGAAGGCCGCCCACTGTGCTGGCCCCGCGGAGTCCCGAGCGTGCAGGGTGAGGCCTGCACACAGGGGGACAGCCTCCTCGCCACTCTGCGTTCTGCAACGTGGGCTGGCCGAGCCCCTCCATGGGTCCTCCTGGCCACAGCAGGTGTGGTGTCAGCTCCAGCTGAGTTCAATCTCCTCTGGTGAGGCTGACGGCCTCCGTCCCATCCTGCTGCACTCGGTGTGGCTGCCCCTTCAGGGGCAGGCACAAGTGAACACGTGTTCTGGGGCAGGAAGTGCCAAATATGACCTGATGTGACCTCTCTTGAAGTCTCACCTGCAAATGACTTTAAAATGCAACCATCCTCCTTTCTCCACGTACACAGACAGGTATGGAGTGATGGAGGGATCTGTGTAGGGCCAGCACAGGCACAGGTCTCCTGAGCGAGGAATCCAGGGATCCATGGCCAGTACTGGAGACTGAACCCAGGGCCTGGGCACTAAGCCACATCCTCAGCCCTTTTTCATTTTGGACAGTGTCTTGCTAAGCTCAGGCTGGGCTTAAACTCAAGATCCTGTTGCCTCAGCTTCCCAGGATGCTGGGAAGACAGGCGTGCATGACCTCCAAACCTTAGAAACTCTGTCATCTCTGCCTTCTCTGGAGGCCCACAGGGCAGCCTGCTCCTTATCCCCGAGTGCGTGCTCTGCTGCTCCGTGACCGTGGCTGCGCTCACCTGCTCCATCCTCCACGCCAGCTCCTGCCGCCGCTGCTCCCACTCGCACCGCTCGAGCTCCGGGCACGGCAGCAGCTCCACCTTCTCCCGCCTCTAGCTCTTCTCGCAGTGCCGCATCTGCCAGTGCAGGCCCAGGCCCAGGCCACGGCTATCGGCCAGCAGACTCTGGTGCTTCTCCGGCTCCCTTCTTAGTGCGCCCCTGTTCTCAGTAGTGGGCTTGCCTTCGCTCCTCTCCACCTGCTCTTCCAGCTGCTGAGAAGAAAGACTTAGGGACCTCTCCCTACAGGTGTGGCCTCGTGGGGTGAGCAGATCTGCACAAGGCCCCATGGTGGCCTGGCTAGGCCACAGGGGAGAACAATTTCATTTCTAAAACCTGAACTAAGATCATGTGATACCCCACAGAATAAAAGATCTAATCAAAAATGGACATCGGAAATGAATGGACACTTTTCACAAGATGGCGAACAGATGGCCAGAAGATACATGAAAAAATTGTTCAGCACCGCTGGCCACTAGCTAAGGACAAATTAAAACAACACTGAGGTCCCATCCGACCCCAGAAGGAATGGGTGTCCCTGAGACATCAAACAAGAACAACTGCTGGTGACGCTGTGTGGGGAGGAGCCCGGTGACACCACTGGTGGGACAGAAGCTGCAGGAGTCAGCCTGGAGGGTCCTCAGAAACTAAAACTAGAAGCCCCATGACCCGGCCATGCCCTTGGCGGTATCTTCCCAAGAGTTAAAGGCGCCATGTCGCACTGAGCTGTGCACCTGTGTACACAGCAGCACAGTTAGCAGCAGCCACTCGTGGAAGCAGCCACGTGTCCTACAGATGAACGGAGAGCAACAAGGGGGCATGGAACACCCGGAGCACGGCTTCGCCATAAAGATGGACGAACTTGAGTCACAGAAAAATGGATGCAGCCTGAGACCATGATGCTAAACGAACCAGACACACAAGCTTCAGTATTACGTGGATTCTCCTGTACCACAAATCCGCAGCATAAGTAAGATGAAGAGCAAAACAGACGCTAGGGACCAGGCAAAGGCAGATGGAACTTCTGCAAAAGAGAAAGGGATCAAGAGATGGAGGGAGAAGGGATGCACATGCTACAGTGCCCAGGCTGGTCGTGTCTTGGGATTCTCCTGCTTCAGCCTCCCACGAGCAGGCATTTCAGGTGTGCGCTACCGCACCCAGCTAGTCAATATTTTTTAACTGTTCCGAGAGAGCTGCTTGAAGCCTTAGACCAGTGAGCACTATCCGGAAGGCCCATCTGCCCCTCTTGGGCTGCTGAGGATGTGCGTGGTTAAAGCGGAAGTTTTCACCTACAGGGCCTCAAGGGAGGAAGACAAAGGCTGAGCCTCAGCTGTGAGGGGTGGACTCTTCTGCCCCGGATCTGCAAGGAGGGCAGGCCTTGGGACAGAGGGAGGGTGGGCGAGACAGGATCTGCTCAGGGAAGCCAGCTGGCAGGCTGAAGTGCGAAGCAACCTGGCCACTGGGGGAAAGTCTTTGCTTTCAAGGGGGGAAGATACCACAGGCACAAGCAGGAAGGACACAGCCACCGGCAGCAGAGGCCAGCGGGAGGCACGGGCCTGCCCCTCTCCCCAGCTTGTAGCAGCCGCCAGCGGTCCAGGCAGGCGCAGGTAGGGAGCCAAGTCCTCAGTGACACCACAGCAGCATCTCCCTGGCTTCTGCCTGGTCCCGTCCACTGGTCTTCCTTGCCCTTCTCCATCACACTCAGCCCCAAGACGCATTATCTCCACGCCAGCCATGCTGGAGTCCCCCTTCACCCCAACCTCCAGGAAGCGCCTCAGAAAGTGCCTGCTGCCTGGCAGCACCGGGGTCTGGGCCTTGCCCCCTTCGTCTCAGTGTCCCTGTCCTCTCCCAAGTCCTGAAGACAGCACTTCAGGTTCTTCTTTGGACCTCTTGAGCCATCAAGTCCTGGAGATGCCCGAGGTCCCTGTGTCCAGGACACCCATAGTCCTCAGGTGCAGCTGTGTGTCGCAGAGAGCTCCCGCGGTGGTAGTGCACACATGTGGCTGTGCTCTCGGAGACTGTCGCCAAGGGCAGACCCTGTGACACTTCGGGATCGATTTCTCAGTCCATGCCCCTGCGTTTGCGACAGGAGGCTGTAAATGTCTTCCACCCCAGGACCTGCTGGGACGGCTGAAATCCTGCTCCTTCTCACCCTTATTCCTGTCTAAGGGAAGGCACTGTCACCTGGCATCAGCTGCGACCTAGGAGCCACGTGGGCTGCCAACGGCCCTGGGCACCTGTTGCTTTCTTGCTTCACGTTTTCTTCAGGATGTGCCTGTCATGCCCATACCACCCACTTCTCACCCACTCCTCCCTACTCCCCAGGGCTCGTGGACCCCTCTGGCCATCAGGGAAGCCAGAGGATCCTCCCCAGTGTTACTATCTGTGACTGCTGGGTGGCCTGTCACCTGCAGTCATAGTTGTAGCGAGTGTGAGGGGACACAGGTGTGCCGAGGGGCTGGAAGCAGTGCAGAGGCCACGTGCAGCTTCTCCTGTTCAGGTCAAACAGCTTCCTGAAGACTGTCCATAGCCCAGGCCCACCCACTGCTCCACGGCCAACAGATCCTGACCTCAGAGCCAGAGCCATTACTTTAAGAAGATCTGAAGTTCACGGTAAAGTCAGGCTTGCAGTACTAAGTGCTTCAACGCACGCAGCCCCCAATGCCATGCTCCTTGGTTGGGTCACATGCCTCCCCCAAAAGGCCCCACTGGTCCTGTTCTCCTGCATGTCCTGCTTGTGACACCTTCTGTGGCCTCCCTGGGCACCCAGTAAGCTGACGGCCCACAGATACTTCCCACAGTGCTGCCCACGTCAGCCCTGTCCCCACTGCCTGCCAGTGGGGAAGGCCTCGAAGTCTGTCAGACACTGAGTGTGCACAAGGTCTGATTTAGGCTCCAGTTGAAGGGACCACAGATTAGGGGAATAGCTCTGTATGGGCTCTGCCCTGAGAGAAAACATTTACATTTAGTTTGCACAGAAGAGGATCGAGCTGGGACCATGACACATGGACTGGCCAGGACCTTGTGCACGTTTCCCAGGATGTCCTCGTGTGAGAAACCACCCAGCTGAGCTGGGCAGAGCCGCACATTGGGGCTTGCAGCCCAAGTGCCACTACCTGGTGTGCACCAGTGCCCTGGAGCCTTTCTCTGCAGCAAACGTGTGGGCACATGCCAAGTTCTCAACAAGGCTGAGATGTTTTGGAACTGGATCCCACCAGAGATTATGCCTCCCTCTTATTACCTCATGACTTGGAAACCATATAGCTCCCCACCCCGGGCACCCACACACACATCTTTATATAGGTAGGGGCAGCCTCTCTCCTGTGCTGGCCCCACGGCTGGGCACAGAGACAGCACCTGAGTGAGGCCAGGGGCCATTACCGGGCTTGACCCCGCCAGCTGATGGGCTCATTGTGGGCCAGGTGGTGGTGCAGGAGGGCAGGTGGGCCCGGGCGCTGGAGTACTGGGTGATGTGTGGGTCCCAGGAGTGCACCAGGCCTGTGTCCTCTTTTTTCCAGGCTATTGGAGAGATGTCTCCTCTCCTTGCTATTTTCTTCTCTCATGACCAAGGCAGTTCAGACAAGAGTCACTGACTCTGGCAGAGCCCAGGAAAGTAGAGATCAGACACACAGGGTGGCACAAGCCCTGAGCAGCGGGTGCTGAAGAGGCTATGGATTGCTCTCGAGGGATCCCAGCAAGCTACCGGGAAGAGGCCTGGGCACTGCTGGCGGGGGCCACGTGCAGGGGCTGGCAGGGTGCTGGGCCCTCTTCCTGCCCTGGCACTAAGAGGTGCAAGATCTGAGACCAGTTCCTCCTCTGGCCTCAGTTTCTCTCAGGGTGGGAAGGAGGCTGGGACTGAAGAAGAGTCCCAGGCAGTGACTGTGAGGCGTCTGGACAGCGTGTGCCCAACTTTCTCAGAGAACCCCCGACATACATAGCCTGCTCTTAGTTCCCTGACTAGAATTACGTCCCCTCAGGGTGATGACATGGTTGCACTGGCCCCCTCTAGCCTTGTGGAGGGCAGATGGGCCAATGACACCCCGATGTGTGCTGTTGGACAGGTGCGTTAGGGAGCTGGGAGTGTTGGGACCTCAGGGGCTTGGGAAGGCTGGCACTGTAAGGAGGGCCCTAGCTGCCACCGCCCTTTCCCCTGCACAGGGATGCTGTCCTCCCCTGCCCTTCTGAGCAGCAGCACAGCCTGGTTACCAGTACCTGCTCTAGGCGGCCCTTGAGCATGGCCCACTCCACGTCCCAGGCAGCCGTGTCACTGGTGTACGGCCACTGCAGCCGCCGCCGGGCCAGCTCGTCCTCCCATAGCTCAGAGCGGAAGTCCTCCAGCACAGCCTCGAGGGCGCCGAACAGCTGCTGGTTCTCTACCACCTGTGGGAACAGCAGGTCAGATCATCCTCCAGGTGGGAGAAGGTGGGGTCTGCCGCAGGGATGGTGAGAGGACCTCTGCTGCGGTGGCACCTGGGGTGGGGCAAAGGGGCTTCTGGATCAGGGAGCTGGGCCTCCTTGGGCACCAGGCAGCGGTGCCCACAGGCGGAACTCAGGCCTGTGCCCTAGGATCCATAGCAGAGGTGCATGTGCAGAAAGGGCCAGAGGTCTGTGCAGGGCTGGCCAGCTATCCTGTGGGACATCAGGTGTCCTGGTGTGGGGCACAGAGCCAAGAAAATGCATACACGTGCCTCCCTGCACATCACCTATACCAGCTGTTGAGGAGCAAGGACGGTGTGTGGCTGTACTCTTGTAAACATGAGATGGTCTTATCTCACCTGCAGGCACCCAGGGAGGCTTGGTCCCAGGGGATGACTGATGGCTCACAGTGGTGACATCCTAGGTGCAGGCCGCTGTCTGCAGGCCGCTGTGCCCCCTCACCAGGCCCCATTGCAGCTGCCACCCTCCCTCCTGCCTCTTGCTCCTGTTACTCCCGGGGATCAGTTCCCCTGACCTCCAGCATCTGCACCATCCTGCGCTCATGTTGAGCACATGATGTGTCTGGCAGGTGAAGGGGTTTGTGGTGGCTCCCTGTACCCCTAGCGTAAAGCTGTTCTGCTTGGGCTTTCCAGGCTTGCTGGGAAGCCACGATCCCCGGTACGCGTGCATCTGTGCAGGCGTCCTCGTGCGGAGCTTGTCTGGAGGAATGAAGCATGCTGTGTTACGCGGTTCCTGTCTCCTCCAACCTGAAAGCCCCCAAGTGTGCCCTGGGCCCCGCTCAGGTCCAAGGCCACTGAGTAACCCAGCACCGCCCCCCAGAAGTCCAAGCATCCGTGGGAAGACCCTCAGAGACTGTAGGTATATGGTTTCACATTTAAATAAAGTTCAATTAGTAAAGAGGAATCCTGGCTGGGGAGAGAGCTCAGTAGAATAAGCGCCTGCCTGGCAAGCGCAGGGTCCTGAGTTCAATCCCCGGTACTGCAAATCAGTACATAAGTACATAAAGTGAAGAGGAACCCTTTCATAAGAGCAGATGAATTAACTGGAAACTCTAGATTTGTCTCCATCATTTAACTGAGTTATAGCAGCAGATACGCAGGCTTTTGGTAGAAGGAAGAAGCCTAGTTATTAGCATTTATTGCTCTTTGGCTTTTCTTGCCTTGATCACCAATTTTTACTTGGGACAAATGACACTAGAAGTGCAAATCAGTGACCATTCTACAAGCTCAGCAGCTAGCGAACCTTCTCAAAGCCCTACACGCTTTGCCATCAACCGAGTGTACAGCACGCGACGGCCTTCAGGGAGATATGCTCCTCACCGCGGGAAGCTGCGAGAGACACACAGCCATTTGCCAAAGCTCTACACCAAGAGTTTCTAAAAATTCTGTGTGTAGAAAAAGCAAAAATACAATTATGTAACAGTGGCTGCGTGAGCACGACAATCTTTTCAGAAACACGTCTTTGCATAGTCCGCTGAAAAATTATGTATTTATGATAGATTTGCTTAGTTTTTCACTCCAATAGAAAAATTACTATTTTTTTTTTCAAATCAAGAAAATTTTCAGTATGAAAGGACAGTGAGTTCGAGCTGGTGGCTGGGCAGTGTGCTGCAGCGGGGGAGGCACGGCACCTTCTCACTGTGACCGACCGCTTTCCCGTGAGCTCCTCCGCCCCAGTCCCACGCGGTTTCTGCCAGGGCAGCTTCCAGCCTGACACTGCACAACTGCTGGCTACAGTGGAATTCGAACTTTACAGTCTAAAGGGCAGGCATGACTCTTCTGACCATTTTATATACCCACATATAAAAAGAAATCCTTTTGCGACTAAAAATTTGGTTTCTCTGGAAGAGAAGCAAGCACTTTTAGGCTTTAGTACATATCAGAGTTAGTAAAAGCAAGGCTTCGTGTTTCCACGCATGTTTAGGTCGGTGCAAGCAACACAAGAGCCGTGACCCCAGGGCAAGGTCAGTCTTCACGGACAGAGCTCCAGAAGACGCCCCAGAAGAACAAGAGCGCAGAGCACTGGTGCTACGGGGACTTATCCTCACAGGCCAGGAATAGCAGGTGATGAGGCAGAAAGCCACTGCAGCCATGCCACAAATGCATGACAGCCACCGAGGCTGTCTATGGGACACTTCCAGAGATCCCAAAGAGCCACAGGGAGGCATGACTCTCCTAAACAGCTTTCATACCCACACAAAGCACAGCCCTGGGGTGGGGAGATAGCTCAGCAGTCTAAGTGCCTGCTTGGCATGCGCAAGGACCCAGGTTCAATCCCTGGTACTACATGCCATGCTGGGCCCCACGCTGTGCCACCCCCTGAAACTGGGCATGGTGGCGCATGCCTGTAATCCCAGCACTGGGGAGGCTGAGACAGGAGGATCCCTACAAGTCTGAGCTGCATAGCAAGACCCTGTACCATTATTTATAAATAAAAGACTGAAAACAAAAAAGAAGCACAGCCATGATGATCACTAGTTCTGTTTCCTACAGTCCTCAACAACCTTGCTTGTATTTTGCACCCACCCAATGTTAAAGAAGTGAGGGCCTGCACTATACCCCAGGTTTATCCTCCCCAGAAGCCAAACTGGGAATATTCAAATTCTGACCTGCCCCCCAACCCACCTCCTGTCCCCTTTCCACTTCACTTCTTTCCTTTGGGCTCTCTCCTTTCTTTCTTGCAGCCAGGGTCCTGAATCCTGGGCCTTGAGCAAGCTGGCCACTCTACCACTGAGCTGTACCCCATCCCCAGTGTTTTCTTGTAGTCACCTAACATCCCTGAGAGTCCTGTCCTCTCCCATGCCCAGGGAAACAAGAAAGCAAGCCTGAAAGCCACCTCTCTCTCCTCCTCCCCTGGTGGTGCCCTACAATGGGTTCTGGGTACAAAGATAACCCAACTCAAGCATCAAATTAAGACTTGGTTCCATTTAGTCTCTTTCTACTGAAAGCCACCCTGGGTTTGAATCCCGTGAAACTCTGGTGCCAAAGGTTTTGCTGTGCAGCCTTTGGGGTGGGTTCTAAACATACATCAGTTTCAACTCCAAAGCCCGGTTTCTCAAACTCTTCAGAGATCAGCTCATTGGTTTTCTACCAAGAAGCATGATAAAACAGCTTCAGCAGGTCCTTCTCCTCCACTGAAGGGCACGTCAGCGCAAAGCACTGAGAAAGAGACCAGGAGCCCGACGGTGAGATAATGTCATGTTGCACGGCTTCACCGTTCCTGCCAGCCAGGCACTCACAGTGCCATGCAAGTCTACACTCGATGTTATCCACAAAAAGTGACTGGGGAGTTAGGCCTCACCTGCTACACTCAGAAACGTGAGACCATGCCAGTGCTTTTCAGAAGCCCAGATTTCTGAGGCAGGTGTATCAGGTGAAATCCTACCTCGGGGAACACTAAACCACCCTCGATGGACTCCGTGCTGCCTTGAGGCCATTAGCCTTACAGACAGGTTTAATGGAGAGGTGGAGCGGACACATTGACCCACGCTGATCCACAAGACAGCAGCCACAAAACAGGCAAGGGCCTCCGCCTCTTCCTTACTGATCTTCTGACAGGCAGGGAGGGACCTGTGATGCTCGGGCGCCAGCCCCAGCCCTGTGGCACTGCCATTTGACATGCACAGGCGGGGCCGCGCACATCAATGGAGGCCACTGCTCTATCAGCAAGGACAGGCCCTGCCTGCGACACCAGCCAGAAACAATGCTACATTCACACATCCAGCAACATTTTTATAAAGAAGTCACTGTAGTTTTTTTTTTTTTTTTTACCTTCATTGTTACATTTAGATTAATCTAGGATTCTTTTCTAAAACCACTGTCCCTCTACCCCCAGGAGAGCGGACAAGTGCTTGAGGGCATCTTTCAGAACAGTACTTTCAGAAACTGGGTATTCCTTTACCAAGGGCCACTTGCGCTCCGGCCAAGGGTGTGCCTGACCTTTGGTGCTGGAGGACACTGTGCCTTTGGTCACCACTGCTGTCACCTTCAGTGTCTGAAGCACAAATCCTGGCTAGGTGTCTTGGTTACTTTTCTCTCCTTGCTGTGATAAAGTACCCGACACCCAAAATGAAAGAAGGAAAGGTTTATTTAGCTCACAGTTTGTGGAGGTTTCAGTCCATACTCAGCTGGCTCCACGGCAGAGTGGCACATGGCAGAGGGCAGTTTATGGTGGCGGAAACCAGCAAGATCAAAAGGGAGGAGCGGAGGCAGGCAGTAAGCAAGTATAAGGAATACTGCACCCAAGCTCTCCGCCCCAGGGCAGGTATAGTACTCACACCCATAGTCTCAGCCTTGGATCATGAATTAATCATAAATTCTAGAAATGGCCCCAGCGACTGCATGAGGCTTGGGCAGGACATCTAGATACAAACCATAACATTTTGCCCCTGGTCCCCCAAAGATTCACACACATCCCTTTATGCAAAAGGCATTTTAGTCCATCTCTAAGAGTTTCCAAAGTCCTGAAAGTTTCAGCATTGCTGAAAAGTTCAAGTGCCAAGAGTCCTCCAAGATCTAAGGCAAACTCTTAGCTGTGAGATCCTGTACAAATGGAAGTTGAACACTTCCAATGTTCAATGGAACAAGGGAAACATTACCATTTCAAAAGGTACAAAACAAGGGGATATAAAGCTTTGGGACCCAAGCAAGTCCAAAATCCAGCAAGGCAAACATTAAGTAATGTAGTTCCATATGGAACATCAGAAGCAATCTGTGGCAAATCATGAGCTCCAAAGGCCTTACGGGGCCCTGCCCCTATGGTTTCACTCTCAAGACCTGCCTTGCTCCCTTCTTGCAGCTTTTCTTAGGTGATTCACATTCCTGGCTTCTCCAATCTGTGGTCTACACTGCACATTAGGCTTCTCTCTCTGCTTCACACACTGCCCTCTCGGGGGCACACCACCTGGCCTCCCAGGCCTTCTGAAATCAAGGAGGAAGCCTTCT